GGTCCGGGTACTGCCCTGGGGGACATGTATGGAGGTCCGGGTACTGCCCTGGGGGACATGTATGGAGGTCCGGGTACTGCCCTGGGGGACATGTATGGAGGTCCGGGTACTGCCCTGGGGGACATGTATGGAGGTCCGGGTACTGCCCTGGGGGACATGTATGGAGGTCCGGGTACTGCCCTGGGGGACATGTATGGAGGTCCGGGTACTGCCCTGGGGGACATGTATGGAGGTCCGGGTACTGCCCTGGGGGACATGTATGGAGGTCCGGGTACTGCCCTGGGGGACATGTATAGAGGTCCGGGTTAAACATCCCGCAATGTTTGGCGTTCAGCGAGCGCTAGAACAGGCTATGTTCTAGCCCATCACTACTCATTGCCCATCAAGTAGCGGCACCTGCAAAATGGCCGCCACAGCTGGGTGACGGGCGCACTTTCATTCTACACTCCAGCTGTAACCCGCTTTGTTTCCGGCGTCTTCCGCTGATAATCCCGTTGAGGTTTCTGAACGGAATCATTGAGAAGTGAAATGAAAGTCGGCGCTCACGCTGAGTCCCACGTTGTAGATTTGTTCCTTCTCCTGTGAATGTGGATTTCCCTCCGGCACCGCGCAGGACCGAGAAACGTCACCGAAACTTCCCGGCTCGGCGTGCCGCTTCCCATCGTCTGTGATACCCAATTCCTGGAAGGAAAGCCTTCCCTGGCGGTACATGATTAGGGTCCCGGGCACCCGGCACCACGGCGGTCTGGTGATCCATCCGGCAACATGGGCGCTGATTTGTCCATTGCAGCCGCACTTTCCATACTGCACATTCACATCAGTCTCTGCGCCCAAGGAGCTGACAATCTAAGGTCCCCATCTCACATACTAGACGGGGACCAGTTACCCTTCCAGAAAGTGTTTGGAGTGCGGGAGGAAATCAGAGCACTCGGAGAAAACCCGCCCAAACCCACACAATCGCTTAGAGAACGTGCAAACTCCATGCAGATAGCATCCTCCATGGGATTCAAACCAAGATCAAGATGCTGCAAGGTAGACTTGCTAACCCAGGGGCGGGCAACCTCGGCGCTCCATCTGTCGTGGAACTAAAACTCCCATGAGGCATTGCAAGACTGTGACAGCCACAAGCCTGACCCCCAGAGGGGTGATGGGATTTGTCGTTTCAGCGTGGCTGGAGTGCTTAGGTCGCCTGCCCCTTGTGCTAACTACTAATCCCTTTTTGCTGCCCCGGCCCCTATGCATCAGTCACCAGTATATAAGGATCATATCGGAGCCCTGAGAAAAACAATATTTCCCTGACCTTTAAACGCAGCAGCACAGAACATTCTGCCAGGTAAGGGGTGGGCAGCCTCAGCACTCCATCTGTTGTGGAACTACAAATCCCATGAGGCTTTGCTAGACTCAGGCCACAGACATGACTCCCAGAGGCAGAGCCATGAAGAGATTTGTAGTCTCACCTCAGTGGCTGAGGTTGCCTATCCCTGTGAGGTCTGAGCAGACTCAGAATGAACACGGTGCAGTATGTCACCTGACCCCCCAATGGTATGTACTCTCCATGGCGGCCCTCTGAGTCACGTCATTCATTCATCTTATTTATATCTTGTGTTGTTTGTGGACAGGAAATGTTTATCATGCTGTGATTGGTCCGCGGCGTCTAACCCCCTCCAATCTTCTCTCTTCTCTTCCAGTCTTTCCATTACGCATCTCTGAGGGTAAAAACCAAAAAGCGATCGAAAGGTAAAATCTGATGAAATGTTGTGGATTTTTTTGTTGTTGTTGTTGTTCGGTGTGACCGGATCCGGTGATATTCGGGGTTTCCGGTAATAAGAAATCCTTCCCGATTCCGGGATAATTCCCGCCACACGCCGGATGTTTGGTGAATGAGAACGCTGAAACAATGTAACGGAGCGCAGAGAGGGGGGAGGGGCGTTACAATGTAACGGAGCGCAGAGAGGGGGGAGGGGCGTTACAATGTAACGGAGCGCAGAGAGGGGGGAGGGGCGTTACAATGTAACGGAGCGCAGAGAGGGGGGAGGGGCGTTACAATGTAACGGAGCGCAGAGAGGGGGGAGGGGCGTTACAATGTAACGGAGCGCAGAGAGGGGGGAGGGGCGTTACAATGTAACGGAGCGCAGAGAGGGGGGAGGGGCGTTACAATGTAACGGAGCGCAGAGAGGGGGGAGGGGCGTTACAATGTAACGGAGCGCAGAGAGGGGGGAGGGGCGTTACAATGTAACGGAGCGCAGAGAGGGGGGAGGGGCGTTACAATGTAACGGAGCGCAGAGAGGGGGGAGGGGCGTTACAATGTAACGGAGCGCAGAGAGGGGGGAGGGGCGTTACAATGTAACGGAGCGCAGAGAGGGGGGAGGGGCGTTACAATGTAACGGAGCGCAGAGAGGGGGGAGGGGCGTTACAATGTAACGGAGCGCAGAGAGGGGGGAGGGGCGTTACAATGTAACGGAGCGCAGAGAGGGGGGAGGGGCGTTACAATGTAACGGAGCGCAGAGAGGGGGGAGGGGCGTTACAATGTAACGGAGCGCAGAGAGGGGGGAGGGGCGTTACAATGTAACGGAGCGCAGAGAGGGGGGAGGGGCGTTACAATGTAACGGAGCGCAGAGAGGGGGGAGGGGCGTTACAATGTAACGGAGCGCAGAGAGGGGGGAGGGGCGTTACAATGTAACGGAGCGCAGAGAGGGGGGAGGGGCGTTACAATGTAACGGAGCGCAGAGAGGGGGGAGGGGCGTTACAATGTAACGGAGCGCAGAGAGGGGGGAGGGGCGTTACAATGTAACGGAGCGCAGAGAGGGGGGAGGGGCGTTACAATGTAACGGAGCGCAGAGAGGGGGGAGGGGCGTTACAATGTAACGGAGCGCAGAGAGGGGGGAGGGGCGTTACAATGTAACGGAGCGCAGAGAGGGGGGAGGGGCGTTACAATGTAACGGAGCGCAGAGAGGGGGGAGGGGCGTTACAATGTAACGGAGCGCAGAGAGGGGGGAGGGGCGTTACAATGTAACGGAGCGCAGAGAGGGGGGAGGGGCGTTACAATGTAACGGAGCGCAGAGAGGGGGGAGGGGCGTTACAATGTAACGGAGCGCAGAGAGGGGGGAGGGGCGTTACAATGTAACGGAGCGCAGAGAGGGGGGAGGGGCGTTACAATGTAACGGAGCGCAGAGAGGGGGGAGGGGCGTTACAATGTAACGGAGCGCAGAGAGGGGGGAGGGGCGTTACAATGTAACGGAGCGCAGAGAGGGGGGAGGGGCGTTACAATGTAACGGAGCGCAGAGAGGGGGGAGGGGCGTTACAATGTAACGGAGCGCAGAGAGGGGGGAGGGGCGTTACAATGTAACGGAGCGCAGAGAGGGGGGAGGGGCGTTACAATGTAACGGAGCGCAGAGAGGGGGGAGGGGCGTTACAATGTAACGGAGCGCAGAGAGGGGGGAGGGGCGTTACAATGTAACGGAGCGCAGAGAGGGGGGGAGGGGGTCGACGTTACATTGTTTGCTTTTATCAAATTGTTGCCACAAATACAATATAACAATGTGACGTCGTCCTCCAACAACAACAGAGGAAAGAAAAAAGAACCGAAATGGGAAACAAAATGACTTTCCAAAAAGATACTTTTCCCCACTGAGATCACATGATCAGCCGCGGCTGGGAGAATGTAATTTGTAGGTGGAGCTTACAGACCATGAAGGATTTATATTACATTGTGAACAATACAAGGTGACAGTTACTGATTATCATGGTCCGTTCTCATCGATCCATCATCTCCTGGGGTATCCCCTCCCCCCCCAACCTTGCAGGGAGGCTACCCCGGGGAGGCAAAGGGCTAACTGCTCATTAATGTCCAGGGCAGATTTTTTTGAGCAGGGGAACCCTTCAAAAGTGCGCACAATCTCCAGGTACCCCGGTGCAAAATGTAAACAAACGTAAATGTTTAAAACGTCACATGGTCCCTCCAATCCATATCAGAACATTATCTGAGATAGGGGTCTGGTGCCGATTTGAAGGGGGGACCCATTGCAAAGACACAAAAAAGGGGGGTCCCCGATTCACATCAGAATCCCCCCCTCACATCATAGTCCCCCCATCACATCAGAGTCCCCCCATCACATCAGAGTCCCCCCTTCACATCAGAGTCCCCCCCTCACATCAGAGCCTGCCCCTCACATCAGAG